GTGTCTTGAGCTTGGGAAGGTGTTCTACCACTTGAGCTGACCTCCTGCCCTATCATAAATAAAATGTAAAATTTGCCATTTTAGCGATATTTAAGTGCATTATATTCACAGTGTTACACAGCCATCACCACTACCTAATTCCCAATGCAATAAAAACTGTGTAGTTCTTACTGCTGCAGTAAGAAACTATGTATCTGTCATGCACTGTTTCCCTGTTCCCCTCCCTCAGCCCCTACTAACCTCTATCTACTTTCTATCTCTATGAATTTCCTCTTTCTAGATATTTCATATGAGTGAAATCACACAATATTTGTCCTTTTGCACCTGACTTATTTAACTTAGCCTAATGCTTTCAAGGTTCATCCATGTTGTGGTATGTATCAGAATGTCATTGTTTTTGTGGCTGAATAATATTACATTGTATGTATATGCTACATTTCATTTAATTTGTTGCTAGACACTGGTCATTTCTATGTTTTTTTCTGTTGTAAGTAATGATGCTTTGCATACTGGTATAGGAGTATCTGATTTCCTATTTTTACTCCTTTGGGTATCTAGTGATTATCTATTGACTAGAATTACTGAGTTATATGTTTATTCTACTTATATTTTCAAGGAAAAAACAAATTGTTTTCCACAACACTGTAAAATTAATATTTTTTTTGGTGGTATTAGAATTTGAATTCAGGGCCTCACGCTTGCCAAGCAGGCACTCTGCCACATGAGCCACTCTGCCAACCCTTTTTTGTGTTGTGTATTTTTGATATAGGGTCTCTCAAACTATTTGCTTAGGCTGTCTTTGAACCTCCATCCTCCTGATCTCTGCCTCCTGAGTAACTAACATTACAGGCATGAGTCTGGTTTATTAGCTCAAAATTTTAAATCATATTGTCAAATTCTACAAAGTACCCTATTTGGTTGTTTATTATATTTAGGTTTTAGATCATTTGGAAGTGATTAACATGTTATGGAATCAAATCTTCTAATCCAACTTTATAGTATATCTTTCCACTTAACTCAGGACTTTTTGATGTCATTCAATAAAATTTGATAGTGTGTTCACAGGAACCATGTATATCATTTCTTAAATTTATTCTTAGCTTGTTTATATTGTTTTATTTCTAAATTTCCTAATTATTGCTGATATTTTGAAAATCAGTTGATTTTGAACTATTTTTTATTTTTAAGTAAGAGTCTTGATATGTAGCCCAGGCTGACCTCAAGTGGAGATCTGCCTGCCTCAGCCATCTGAGTAGCTGGGATTATATCCTACCTGGCTTGAATATTTTTATCCTGACAGGTTTTTTCCACTTCCCTTTTCATGGTTCATGTGTTACTTTTCTCTTTATATTCTATTAGATAATCGTATAATTTGCAAATGACCACAGTTTTATTTATCCCTTTCTAATCTTTATTCCTTTTTATTTCCTTTTAAGGTTTTTTGGTGCTTGAGACAGGGTCTCTCTTGGAAGCCCAGGCTTGCATTGAACTCACTCATTGGAGTCTGAATTCATGGCTTTAAGCTTGCTAGGCAGACACTCTATCACTTGAGTCAAGTCCCCAGCCCGTGACTTCCTTTTTTTCTTGTCAGAGGTTTATCAGACTTCTGAAAAAATCTGCCTTTGGTTTACTCGATCCTCTCTATTGTGGTTTTTCTATGTTATTAATATCTTCCTTTTATTTTCTCCTACACTCTGTGGGTTTATTATGCTATTATTTCTTGAACTTCTGAAGTTGAATGCTCAACTCATTCTTTTTTAAAACTTTTTTGACAGTACTGGGGGTTGAGCTCAGGGCCTTGCACTTGCTAGGCAGATGCTCTATCACTTGATTCCCTCTGCCAGCCCTCTTTTTGAAACTTTTAATATATTAATATAAGTATTTAAGGCTATAAATTTTTTCTAAGTACCTTTTTACCTGCATCCCTCAAGTTTTCATAGGCAATTTTTTGTCATTTTATAGCTCCAGATATTTTTTTACCTTCTGTTATTTCTTATTTGATGCATAAGTTGTTTAGGGTAACATTCCAAGTTTCTAAACACACAATATTCCTATAATTAGTTTTGTTTATTTCTAACTTAATTATGTTACAGTAAGAAATTGTCATCTATAGCTATCTGGTATCAGTCCTTTGTTTAGGCTTTCTAGCATGTGGTCTGTTTTCACAAATAAGGCATTTGTTCTTATAGAGAATTCTTGGGCTGGAAGCTTGGCTCAAGTGTTAAGCACACATACCTGAGTTCAAATCCCATGTAAATGTTCTAATTACTGGATGAAGTGTTTTATGTATTCTTCTATCAGCTTTGTTAGTTGTATGGTTTGAATCTCCTTTATTATTTTGACTCCTATTCTGTCGGTCACTCTAATCTCCCACTCTGACTACTGATTTGTTAGTTTCTCCCTGTGCTCCTACCAGATTTTGCTTTACATGCATTTTGGGGCCACATTTCTGGGAACATATGAATTTAGAATGATTATATCTTTATGGTTAATTAAACCTTATATTACTTTCTAATGCTCCCTTTTCTATTTCTCCTCCTCCTCCTCCTTTAGCTTTCTCATTTTGAGGACTGTTTGAGGAGTTTTTGTTCTCTTTCCATTTTTTTCTCTTTTTTGTAGAACTGTATGACTTATTTTTAGTTTTTTGATGGCTACTCTGTTTATTTCAACATGATTACAAATTGAAAGTTAAAAAAATTTTCCTTCCTATACAATAAAGTTCAAGTACCTTAAAAAATTTTAAGTCTAATCATTACCTTTAAGTACTATCCTATCCTGCACTCCTGTCATTATTAGGTATCTAACAAAGTTTATCCCTTTTGTAATGTTTAAATGTATTTAAATGTTTTCCAGTATCTTGCCATACCATTTCTTCTTGCGTCTTAGATATTTTATTTGGAATTCTTTTTCCTTTTCCTAAAGTAGTGTGTCCATTAAAATTTCCTTTAGTGGCCATGTGGCTTACGCCTGTAATCCTAGCTATTCAGGAGGCAGACATTGGAAGGATTGTCATTCAGGTCCAGTCCTGGCCAGAAGTTTGCAAGACCCCATCTCAACCAATAGCTGAGCAGGATGGTGTGTACCCATCCTCCTGACTAGGCAGGAAGCTTAAATAGCCAGGTCCCAGGTTTAAGCAGGCCTAGGCATAAATGTGAGATCCTATTGAAAAGATAACTAAGGCAAAAAGGGCTGGGTGCATGGCTCAAGTAATAAAGTGCCTATCTAGCAAGTGCAAGGTCCTGAGTAGAAACCCCAGTACCACACACACACACACACACACACACACACACACACACACACACACACACAAATCCTGAAGTGAAGGTCTCTTATTGACCAACTGCCTTAGGTTCTGTCTGAAATTTTCTTCATTTCACCTCAGTTCTTATAATATGCTTTCTGTACTCATGAAGCTTAACATTTAATGATAGTGGTGTTGGTGGGTGGTTGTGACAAAGAGAAAGAACTTCAAACAGAAGTACAAGACTGCATGAGACCATTTAATAAGGGCCTTGATCCCTTAACCTATTCTGGGAGATCAGAGAAGTAACATTTACACTGATTCCCAAAAAATGAGTAGTTAGGAAAATTCTGAAAGAGCATTATGTTTTTCTTTGGGGGGACAGAGGGGAGAGTGGGAGAAGAAGAAGAATGGGGGAACCTGGTAGTTAAGGTAGTTTTTTTTTTGGCAGTATTGGGGTTTGAACTCAAGGCCTTCATCTTGAGCCACTCCACCATCCCTATTTTTGTGATGGGTTTTTTCAAGATAGGGTCTGGCAAACTTATTTGCCCAGATTGGCTTTGAACCATGATCCTCTTGATCTCCGCCTCCTGAGTAGCAAGGATTACAGGTGTGAGCCACCAGTGCCTGGCCAGGGTAGTATTTTTTAAACTTAGCTTAGCAATGAGAAACAGCTAAATCTACTGAACATGTTAATAATTGATTCATCATATGGTTTTAAAAATGTCCTGAACTGCTGTTTTAAAGCTAGATATTTTTAAATTATTCTATAAATTCTAAGAAATCATGACAGGTGGATATAAGGATTGGTTTTAAACCCAAGTTTTGTTTTATTTTTCAGTGCAGGGGATTAAACTCAGCATCCCCCTTGCTGATGCTGAACAATACTCTGTCACTTAACTACATCCCCAACCCTTAACCACTACGGATTTTTTTAAATTTAAATAAGATTGTTGTACTATTTTTATTTCTTATTTTATCATAAGTGTCAGAATGTACTCTGTTATCAGATTCTTTAGAGATTATTCAAGTTCTGAGTTAGAATTTTGACTAAATTTATCTTGATCCTCAGATTCTGTGCTTAAACACTTAACACTATGTCTTGCATATAGTAAGCACTCAAAAATATGTTTCATTGGACTGGAGGTGTAGCTCAAGTGATAGAGCACCTGCTTTGCAAGCACAAAGCCCTGAGTTCAAGTCCCATCCCACCAAAAATTTTAAAAAACCATGTTTAGTGAACTAAAGTATCTGATATGGTGCTCTTAATTATACCTTTAAAAAATATTTTCTTCCTTAATTCCTTCTGTTTACCAAAAATTATAGTCCTTTCTTTCTGGTTTCATAATCTTTATTAAACTTACTATTTTGCTCTTTTCCCTTACTCAGAATTCCTTTTGAAAGTTTAACTGTCCTGAGTCTTTTCCTTGAGACTCCTATACTTGGTATTTTGTATTCTAAACCTTTATTGTTTTCTCATTTCTCTTAGAAAATTTTTCCTTCTCTGTCTTCTCTCTCTCTCTTTCTCAGTACTGGGGTTTGAACTCAGGGGCTCACATTTGTTAGGCAGGTATTATACTTGAGCCACTCTGCCAGCCCCTCCCCTTCTCTTAGTCTGTCTTATTTTATATTGAGAAGTTCTTTGAGTCTGATTTGTGTTTGTAGTATTTTAAATGCATGTTTTTTTTTCATCCTGAGGAACTATTTAATTGTTACTATGTACTTGATAAGCATAATTTTATGTATTCTGTATTTTTAGTCTATTGAAGACAATGAAGTATATTTGCCTAATGATGAAATTTGGACCTATGATATTGATAGTGGGTTGTGGTAAGTAATTTTGAAATGCAGAATGTCTAAAATTAATAACTGTTATGCTGTCATAGACTACAGGGAATTTGAGACCATACTCAGGACATACACCAATGTTTATGAAATTTCCCTCTTTTTCTTTCCATGTTTCATTCTGACTTTCTTTCCCTCCTCCCTTCACTCTGCATTCCTTTGCCATTCTTTTCGAGACTAACTCTGTCTCTAAGACTGTTTTATTCTATTAATTCCCAGTTCTGGTAACATATATGAGAATTTTGTGGGTTTTTTTCCCCCAGAAGGTTAAAAGGTAACTTTACACTGGATCTTCTTAGAGTTTTTATAGTATTGGCTACCATTACTTTTTTTTTTCTTTTTTGAGACAGGATCTCGCCATGTAGCCCAGGCTAGCCTACAGTTCATGATCCCTCTGCCTCTGCTTCCTAGTGTTGGGATTAAAAGCATGTGCCACCATGCCTAGTGTAATTTTCAGTAACATTTTTTACTGAACAAGTACTCAGGGAGTTTAAAGGGAATTTTTATTTGCTTTTCTGGAAAGTTAAGAAATGCCATGTGATTCTTGCTTCAGGAGAATGCACCTAATGGAAGGAGAACTCCCTACCTCCATGTCAGGAAGCTGTGGTGCTTGCATTAATGGAAAGCTCTACGTTTTTGGAGGATATGATGACAAAGGATACAGCAATCGAGTAATACTTTCTTTTAATTCAGGAGTGCAGCAAAATGCAGTATTTCATGTATTATTGCATCTCACAAGTTACAATAACTTTATGTTGATAAGGTTTTAGAGTTAGAAAGTACAGCAGTCTTCCCTTTTTCTCTCCTGTGTCTTTCTGCTTTCCATGTTTCATTGATACCTATAGGGTGAGAGCGTGATGTGAAATGACCCATTTCAACAGGTTTTATGTGTAACTTTTGCTTCTAAAGCACTCTGTCATTTTCATTAATTTTATAATTTAAAATTTCTAGTAGGCAAAAATTTTACTTATTAACATAGAAGATTAATGGTATTTTTAATCAGAGTCCCCTGATATAGATCTAATTTTCAAATACCCTGTTTGCTAACAATGTTCTTGTCTTTTAAAAGCTTTATTTTGTTAATTTACGAACAAGAGATGGAACCTATGTTTGGGAAAAAATCTCCAACTTTGAAGGACGACCACCCACGCCACGTGACAAACTTTCCTGCTGGGTGTATAAAGACCGGTAAGGCAGCAGCTGCACTTTTAATGCAGTCACTTGTACTTAGTAAGGGTTTTGGTCAAAAAACTTTTGGTCAAAATAGAGAAGTTGAAAGTACGAATTTTTCCAAGGTGTAATTATCGACGTGTCTTGATGTCGATGAAACAGCAGTTAGAACTATGTCATGAGTGAACATGGCAGGAGCAATTATTTGGGTTTTTAAAAAACTTTATTAAAAAACTTTCTGGATAATTAATACAGTTACATGATTCAAAATCAACATCATATTTAGAAGTATACAATGAAAGGCCTGTCCCTATGTACCTTGCCTTCACCACTGCCACATTTACCAGGAAAGGACTCTGCTTTTCTTCATATTTTTATATTGTTGTGGCAGTGGTTTCCAGACTTGTTTGCCATTGGAATCATCTGGGGATATAAAATTTCAAAGCTGAGGCTATCCCCAGACCAACTGAAGCACAGTCTCCAGGATGTGATTTTTTTGGAAGCTCCTCAAGTGCTTCCAAATGCAGACACATCTGGTATCACTGGTATCTGAGTTTTTTGTTTGGTTTGTTTTGGTTTTAGTTTTTTGAGGCAAGTCTCACTATGTATCCCAGGCTGGCCTCAAACTTGTGATCCTGCTTCAGTCTCTTGAGTGCTGGGATTACAGGTATGTCCAGGTACCTGAAATCAGTGTTCTTTATGCAAATAGAAACAAATACATATGTATTATATATGTATTCCAATTTCTCCTCTCCTCTTCATATAAATGCTAGTGAACCCCCTAGCACTGTTCTGGACCCCCACTGCTTATTTTAGTAAGGCGATACCACAGAGATTTTTCGTCTCTCTGTATTCTAACTAGAAAGCTTGTTTGTTAGGTTTTTTACAGCAGTATAGTATTCCCTGTGTAGGTTCAGAGCCTTATCCAAAAAGACTTCCAGAGTGGAATTTTAAATGGTGATTTTAAAGCAGCCAAGCATAAGTTCCAGGAAGAGTCATACTGTGACTGAAGGGTGGTCATCATAGCATTTCTGCACAGTCCCTGCAGGCTGTGAGGTCAAAGGTACTAGTCAAGTAGTTTGTATCTAGCTGTCCCATAGGGAAGCAGTTACCAGAAAGCAGTACATAAGGCAGGTTCTGTGTGAACCGCAGTGAGGAACTGGGAGGAGATGTAGAACTGGAACCTGCCAAGGGTGACTGAGCCCTACTCTTGGTATGAGAAAGTCCAGCTTGTGTTCACAGCGGGTGGTAAGGCAACGTGGTCGAATTACAAGAATCGCCACAGAAGAGTAACTGATAACATTCTCAATTGACTTCTTGGTTAGGCCTTACTTTTTGGTCATGTCAGGCTGGAAGAAGCATTAAGAGGGGCTGGAGATGAGCCTGGGTCTGAACTCTGTCACTGAACTTTGCCTGCTCTCATAAAGGGAATATCTCAGAATGTTTATGGCAGCGATTTCCGTTTGTGTAAGCCCCTAGGGTTTTCTGCTCGCTTTATCAGGACTCAATCTATGCTAAAATGTATTTTTCATCCTTTAAACTTTTCCTTGGTATGGTATATATATAAGAAACTGGTAGTAGTGGTTGTCCTAAGCAGGAGAATCAAGTGAAGAGAGCATGAGGGAGACTCACTTTTTATACCTGTTTTAAAAACAGTTGTGATAAAATATATGAAATGTAATGTTTTCTAATTTAACCATGCTTCAGTGTACAAGTCAGTGGCAGTGCCATTAATTATTTACAGTGTTGTACTACCGTTACCATTACAGAGTTCAAACCTTTTTTATTACTTCAAACTCTGTAGAACCCACTAAGCAGTACCTTCTCACTCTCCCTTCTTCCCAACTCCTGGTAACTTCAAATCTCCTTCAGTTTTTTATGAATTTGCCTATTAGAGATACTTATTTCATATAAATAGAATCATAAAATATTTGTCTTTTTATATCTGATTGTTTCACTTATAACATTTTCAAAGAACACCGTGTTGTAGTATGTATTTCCATTACACACACATACACGCGCACACACACTGTATTTTGCATATCTATTCATCTGTTGATGAACACGTGGGTTGTTTTCACCTTTTGGCTCCTGTGACTAATGCCGTGATGAACATTGGCCTACAAGCATTGTTTTAGTTCCCATTTTCAGTTCTTTTGGTTATATACCTAAGAGTAGAATTGCTGGGTCATATCGTAATTCTGTGTTTAAGTTTTGAGGAACCATGAAACTGTTTTCCACAGTGAGTACACCATTTTATTTTCCACTGGCAATATGTAAGGGTACCTGTTTATCCACCCTCACCAGCGCTTGTTATTTTCTGGTTTGTTTTTGTTTTGGATATTAAAAAAATAATGGCCACACTAGTGGGTATGAAGTGGTATGTCATGGTTTGATTTATATTTCCCTAGTAACTAATTATGTTGACCATATTTTCTTGTGCTTATTCACCATTTTTTAAAATCTTTAGAGAAAACTCAAGCACTTTGCTCTTTTTTATTTTTAATTTTTTTTCCTTTTTGATAGTATTGAAGTTTGAACTTAGGGCCTTGCGCCTTCTAAATAGGCACTCTTCCTCTTGAACCATGCCCCCAGCCCTCCTTTGCCCATTTTTTTTCCTTTTCCCATTTTTTTCCTTTGCTTATTTTAAAATTGGGTGTTGGTCTCTTTGTTGTTGAGTTTCAGGAGTTCTTTGTATACTCTGGGTATGTGTAGATATATGTAGTTTTATTTTCTTGTCGCATCATCTGGCTTTGGTACCAGCTGGTCTCAGAGAATGAATTACAAAGTGTTGCTGCTTCTTCAATTTTTTGGAATGGTTTGAGGATTGATATTCATCCTTCTGTAAATGTTTGGCAGCATTCACCAGTGAAGCCATCCTGTCCTGGCTTTTCTCTGGGGGGTGGTTTTTGACTACTGATTCAGTCTCCTTACATGTTTTGTGTTTATTTAGATTTTCTATTTCTTCTTGAGCCATTTTTTGGTAATATGTGTCTTTCCAGGAATTTTTCTATTTCACTAGGTTATCCCATTTGTTTATATACAGTTTTTCACAGTATTCTTTTATCTTTCTTTATTTTCATAATATTATTAGTAATATGCCTTTATCTGTCTGTCTTTCTTTCCCCTCTGGCATCTTTCTTTCTTTTAAAACTGGGAGTTCCTTGTGACATTTACAGAAGTTCTTATTATCACCCCTCCATCATTCTCCTTTATTCCCCTCTCGCCCCCATTCCTAGAATAGTTTCAACAGGTCTCATTTTTCCATTTACATGCATGTGTACATATTTCCACCATATTCACCCCACTACCCCTTTTCCTTATATCCTCCTACTGGTACCAACCCCCAGACAGGAACTGTTTTGCCTTCCTGTTCTCTGTTTTGTAAAAAATGACATTTTTGTTTGTTTAAGATAGCTATACAGGGTGTTTCATTGTGACATTTCCATGTATGTATGTATTATAACTTGAATTGGCTCAGCCCCTCTATTTTTCTCCTTTTTATCTTAGTCGCTTTCTTTTGGTGATTTCAACAGGTTTAAAAACTCTATATTCAGGGGGTTGGAGGAGGTGGCACAAACAATGTATACACATGTAAGTAAATGTAAAAATAATAAAATAAAAGGAGGAAAAAAACCAAATTTGCTGTATTAAATGGACAAAACACTGACTTCAGGAGAGGAAATTAAACTGTCAGGAGCAAATGTTTCTGCATTCCAGAGACTCCTGAATGGTTAAGTCCTGAGTCTCTTCTCTGTAAAAACTTACTAAACAATCACAGGGAAATTCCTTCAAGGAACAATGCCTGTCATGATTCCCCAATGAGAATTTAAATTAAATGGGTCTCACACTAATGGCTAAAAAACAAAAAAAAAAAAACAATTCTTGTATAGGGAGTACATCAAAGATATTCACCTTCTTAACTTCTTCTTTTACTCCCTCTCATATGTGACCTCCCTTAGTGTGACCTGTTTTTCATAATATTGCTTGTTTTTGTTTTAGGTGTATATTCCACATATGAGAGAAAGCATGTGGTCAATGGCTTTCTGTACCTGGCTATCTTCACTTAAGATGATGTTCTCTATTTCCATCCATTTACCTGCAAATGACAAAATTTCATTTTTTGTGGCTGAATAAAATTCTAGTGTATTTAAATACCACATTTTCTTAATCCATTCATCAGTAATGGGACATCTTGGCTGTTTCCATAACTTGGCTATTGTGAATAGTGCTGCAACAAACATGGGTGTACAAGTGCCTTTATTATAACCTGACTTACATTCCTTCCTGTATATCCCTAGGAGTGGAATTGCTGGATCATATGGCAGTTCTGTTTTTAGTTTTTTAAGGAGCCTCCACACCATTTTCCATAGTGGTTGTCCTAAAGTACATTCATACCAACAGTGTATGAGGGTTCCTTTTTCCCCATATCCTTGCAAACATTTGTTGTTGTTTGTGTTCTTGACGATAGCTGTTCTAAGATGGTGAGCATTTCTTCATGAGTTTTTTGGTCATTTTGACTTCTTCCTTTGAAAAAGCTCTGTTAAGTTCATTTGCCCATTTCTTCATTGGGTCATTGATTTTTTGGGGAGTATATTCTGGTTATCAATTCCTTGTCAGATGTATAGCTGGGAAAGATTTTGTCCCATTCTGTGAACTGCCTCTTCAATATGGTGACTATTTCTTTTGCTGTGCAAAAGCTTTTTAATTTCATGCAGTCCCATTTGTTTATTCTTTCTCTTAGTTGCTGAGCCAACTACTGATTCTCCTGTCTGGCTGCAGCCTCCTGAGTAGCTGAGATTACAAGCACTTACCATCTTTTTTGTCATTATTTTTACTGTGCTGGAGATGGAACCTGGGATCTTGTATGCTGGGCAAGCACTCTTTCCCAGAGCTAAATCCCCAGCCCTTCTTTCTTTTTTTCTTAATCAATTTTGTGAAGTTATTTGTCAATTTTTAACATTTTTTTCAAAAGAAACAACTTTTGTTTTGTTGTTTTTCTGTTCACTTTTTTTTAAATCTCCCTCCAATCTTTATCATTTCCTTCCTTCTGTTCTCCATGGGTTTAGTTAAGCATACCCTTTTTTAAAAATTGCTCTATTTCTTTTTTCCCTATATACCCATGTTTATTGCAGCATGATTCACAATAGCTAAGGTATGAAATCAGCCTAGGTACCCATCAACAGATGAATGAAAAAAAAATATGTGGTATACATATAGCATGGAATATTATTCATCCATAAAGAAGATTGACATCATGTTGTTTGTAGGAAAATGGATGGAACCAGAGATCATCATGTTCAGTGAAATAAGACAGACTCAGAAAGACAATACCACATGTTTTTTTCTCATATGCAGAATCTAGACATGATAGAGAGTTCTGAGGCAGTCCTTTATTGAAGACAAAACTGCCCCACAACGCAAATTCATCTTGGGGACTTTGAACGTTGTACCATCTGGCAACACCTTAGGGAGCCACTTCCCAATCCTTGCAGACTGTGTGAAGATACTCACAAATGTTGACTTACTTGCAGTGAATGCTCCCTTTGATTTTTTCTTTCTTCTTCTTCTTCTTTTTTTTTTTTTGTTGGGACTGGGGTTTGAACTCAGGGCTTTGTGCTTGCAAAGCAGGTGCTCTACCACTTGAGCCATACCTCCAGTCCATTTTGGTTTGGTTATTTTGGAGATGGGATCTAACAAACTATTTTCCAGGCTGGTCTGGAGCTGCAGTCCTCCTGATCCCAGCCTCCCAAGTAGCTAGGATTAAAGGCGTGAGCCTCAGGTGGTCCTAGCTCCCTTTGATTTTCTTGATGCAGGTCCCCTCTGAGCTGGTCAAGAGATGGGCAGATTCTCTTGGGTGAGGTGGTTATTCCTTATCTTGCAACATCCTCAAAAGTATTGAGCAGGGAAAGCTAGGAGGTAACCAGAGGTGCTCCTGCCAGCTGGCTCCCTGAACTCGTCCTGACCCACCCCTCATAGCTCCTGCTCTGATGGGCAGGCACTTTGGTACTTGGAGAGGCAGCTGCCAAAGGGGGGGGTGAACCTGTGTCGTTCACTGTGACCTTTACCCCCTGCCGCTCCCAAACCCCCCACATGGCTGTTCTCTTTCTAGATCCTGGATGGGTATGGTTTCATTATTGATGTGAGGTGTTTTTTTTGGTTGTACTGGGGTTTGATCTCATGGCCTCTGCACATAATAGGCACCACTTGAGCTACATCTCCTACTCTTTCATTTGTATTTTGTTTCTGAGATAGGGTCTCACTAACTTTGTCCCAGCTGGCCTGGAACTTCTGCCCTTTGCCTTCTGAGTAGCTGAAATTATAGACATGCACCACCATGCCTGGCTCTTTTTTATTTTTTAGATGATAGGTACTTACAAATATAAATTTCCTTGTGAGGTCTGGCTTTGCTGTTCCATGAATGTTCTTGTTTGTTTGCAGTACTGAGGGTCAAACTCAGAGCCTTCAGCTCTACCACTGTGCTGCAGCCCCAGTCCTTTTCATTTGGGACAGCCTCAGCCCAGGCTGGCCCTGAACTTGTGACTCTCCTGCCTTAGCATCCTGAGTACATGGGATTGCAGTGTGTGCACCATGCCTGACTCCCAGAAGCTTTGTTGTATGTTTTCATTTTCATTGTTTCAAGGCGATTGTTAATTTTCCTTGTGATTTCTTCTTTGACTAATTGGGTGGCAGGATGTATGACTTGTTTCATTCTTTTCTTTTAGCACTTTAAAGATTTGTTACACTGCTCTTTACCCTCCGTTTTTCTGGTGAGAAATTTATTCCTTGTTTGTTTTTGTTACTCTGCATATGTCTTATTTTTTCTTAATCTGTTCTTATTTTTCTCTTTGATTATTTTATTAAATATGTCCAAATATAGTTTCCTTTATATTTATCCTACTTAAAATGTGCCGAGCTTCTTGAGCTGTTAGGTTGATGTCTTACATCACTTTTAGGAAATCTTTAGTAATTACCAAAATTTTCTTCTATACATTTCTTTGTCTCCTTTCTCCTGTACCTCCTATTTCATGGATGTTAGACCACTTGATAATCTCTCTGCAGAGCATGGGCTTCCAGCTTCTTTTCTCCCTATTCTTTTCTTTCTGTTTGTATTTGGATATTTTTTATTTATCAGCTGCTGTATCTGGAAATTCACTGATTTTGTCCATTGTTGTATCCAGTTTGCTGTTAAGCCTATGTAATGAATTCTTTAATTCTGACATCTTATGTACCATTTTTAGCAAATTTCTCTTTAGTTTTTTTTCATGGTTCCATGCCTGCTGAAATTACCCATTTCTTCCTGCATTTTGTCCACCTTTTCCCACTAGGTCTATTAGCATTTTATCATAATTTTGTCAACAAAAATTCACTAGGAAAGAATTTAAGACAAAAAAGAGACTTTATTTCAATAAGCAGTTTGCAACCTGGGGAGTTCAGTCTTTGATACAAAATGAAAGTATGATGAGAAGCAACAAAGAGGGGCTAGCTAGTATAAAGTTTTCAACCAGGTACCCACTGTAGTCTACTATGTAAATGAGGGATGTAACCATAATCATGATCATTCCTGGAGGTTGATACTTGTTTTGTTTGTTTGTTTATTGGCACTGGGGTTTGAACTCAGGGCCTCACACTTGCTAGGCAAGTGCTCTATTACTTGAGCCACCCTACCAGCCTGTGGTGGGTTCATGTTTATATTTGACTGCTCATCATAGTGTTAGATTGAAGAGAGGCACAGAAGAAAAGACAGGAGGCGCTCAACATCAGCATAGGCTTTATTTGGGAAAGAGAGCCTGTAGAGGGGTCTCCAGCAAGAGAGCTAAAGGCCACTGCTTGGGGTTTATATAGGGGGCTAGTGGAAAAGTACCAGAAAGATCATTAAGGAACACTGTTGCCAGGCAACCAAGGAAGATTGAGTTGAGGTTAGGTCACTGCTCGACTGTCCTTGGCACCCACCCAGAGATAAAGGTTAACAATTGTCCCTTTGTTGGTCTTTGGGCTCAGGCAAGTTTCTAGTAAGCCACCTGTAAACCTTATCATCTAGTTCATTGGTCAGGTCATTGGTATGATGAGAGAAAAGATGTAGTCCAATCATAACCTTTATCTTTTTTTGTTTTCTTTCTTTTCTTCTTGTGTGTGTGTGTGTGTGTGTGTGTTGGGAGGTACAGAGGTTTTGAACTCAGAGTCTCATGCTCAGGCACCCATCACTTGAACCACACCTCCAGTCTGTATTTCAACTTTCTATGAACAAAGTAGAAGCAGAACTCCTAAAATGTAGTGTATCCATTTCTATTTTTTTCAGATTAATATATTTTGGTGGTTATGGGTGTAGGAGACACAATGAGCTTCAAGACTGTTTTGATGTTCATGATGCATCTTGGGTAAGAAAGTAATCATTCTTTACATTTTCCTTTGATTTAGTATAGCTTTTTAGTCATAAAAATAATGAATATAACCTTTCTCATTTTAAGAACTGCTGGTTTGCCATACTTTACACTTTGGGGGAAAAAAGTTATTTTTACTCTTTTAGATTTGTATCCAGTTGGAGGGGATCTCTTATCAGGTGTTATTAGCTTGCATGGTTACTGGCAGAGTAATTTTTTTTTAAACATCATTAGGCATTTATTCCTGCTTCTGCTAGACATACAGAGGCTTTATCACAACTTGGGAAAGTTTTGTTTATGGCCCTTTGTCCACAAGGGCTATGGATGACATACATTTCCTTTTAGACATGCCCACCAGAATTATTCATAATTCAGCCTGACTTCTACATGAGAATGAATGAGTTGGTAGTAATATTTTCCTATCTATTCTCACTATTAGAGAACAAATTATTATTAGTGAAAGAAGTCAGGAATTTATAAAAATGAAATCTTTTAAAACTTAACTTTTAAAACTATTGATCTTGGCTAGGGGCATGGTTCAAATGGTAGAGCGCCTGCCTAGCCAGGACAAAGTCCTTAATTCAAACCCTA